GTTGAAAATTCACCTCACATCCTATGAAGAATTTCCTTCAATCTTGATCTCAAGATTAATGAACAAATCCACAATATAATAGTAATGGTAATAACAAGTAATTATCAAGAACAACAAAAGAAAAGAAGAACAAACAAGAAAGAGAAGAATGAGAAGAAATATTTGGAAAGAATGTGTTACCCACAACTGTGGGATTTCTTATTGCTTATAGAACTTTCACTTGCTCAAACTGCAACTGTGAAATCTGTTCTATGTTGTGTTTGAAAACAAAACAAGGCACCCTATTTATAGTTTTAGGTTTACAAAAGTCCAAAACATAAAAGGCCCAAAATATTCAAATCAAATCTAATCATATCAAATCAAATCGAAACAATGAATTACATTTAACACACCACTTAATTCATTGTGTCTAAACTGTCTACATTCATCGTGGCTCTTAGTCTTCTGAAGGCTTCGACCTGCACTCCCTTCGTCATGATATCTGCAATCTGATTCTCAGTTCTGCAGTGTTCCAACTTCATCTTCCCTTCTGCTACCTGCTCTCGAAGATAATGGAACCTCATTTCGATGTGCTTGCTTCGACCATGAGCTATTGGATTCTTCGCCAAGTTGATAGCTGACATGCTGTCTATCCTCATGATAATTGCTCATTGATTCTTCCCTGTGATTTCTTCGACCAAGTTCACCATCCAAGTTGCTTGACATGCACAAAGAGAAACAGCTATATATTCTGCTTCGCATGATGACAATGCCACTACTGGTTCCTTTCTCGAATTCCAAGCAACTGGTGCACCACCTAACATAAACACATACCCAACTGTGGATTTTCGATCCTCAGCGTCACTACACCAACTGGAGTCTGTGTATCCCACTAACTTGCATTCTTTTCCTTCATCAACTGCTGGAAACAAAATACCATAGTCGAGAGTTCTTTTCAGATACCTCAGTATCCTCTTCGCCGATGCTAGGTGTGATACCTTTGGCTTCTGCATGAATCTACTTATCATACCAACACTGTATGCTAAGTTAGGCCTTGTGTGACAAAGGTATCTAAGAGACCCAATAAGTCTTCTGTATTGGGTTGGGTCGACATCATCTTCATCTGAATCCTTCGACAGTTGCAATCTGGGCTCAGCTGAATCTCTTGAGTATTTCGCCTGCATATCTTCTTTGATTCATCATCAAACCTCTACTTGTCTTGTAGAATTCGATGCCAAGGAAATATGAGAGATTTCCCAAGTCTGACATTTCAAACTCCTTACTTAGGTCATGTTTGAAATCTTCGATCTCCTTCTTACAACTCCCTGTTATCAACAAATCATCAACATAGAGACATAGTATAAGCAATTCGCCATTGCTTCTTCTTAGATATACTCCATGCTCAGTTGTACACTTCACAAATTCCTTCTCCCTTAAGAAGCTGTCGATTTTCTTATTCCAAGCTTTTGGAGCTTGCTTAAATCCATACAGGGCTTTATGAAGCCTGTACACCTTTCTTTCTTCACCTTGTTTCACAAACCCAGCTGGTTGTGCAACATAAACCTCTTCGTCTAAGGGGCCATTAAGGAATGCACACTTCACGTCCATCTGACATGTGTGCCAGTTGTTCATATTTGCTAGACCAACAACCAACCTGATTGTTTCGATTCTAGCAACAGGTGCGAATACTTCATCGAAGTCGATTCCTTCCTTCTGAAGAAATCCTTTCGCCACAAGTCTCGCCTTGTGTCGAGTTACTTCTCCTTTAGGATTTACCTTTACCTTGTAAACCCACTTCACATCAATTGCCTTCTTGCCTTGTGGCAATTTGACAAGTGACCAGGTATCATTGACTTCGATGGACTCCAACTCTTTAGTCATTGCTTTCATCCACTTCGAATCTTTCAATGCCTCAGCTGCATTGACTGGTTCAACATCTGCGTAAAAAGCATAATGTACCAACTCACCCTCTTCATCGACTACATCATATGATGTAATTACACATTCTTCCAACCTTGCAGGCATGTGTCTTGTTCGTCGAGGTCTGCTTGAACCCACTTCATCTACAACTGGTTCCTGTCGAACTTCTATTTCGACTTCAGTGGCTGGTTCTTCACAAGAGATTCTCACTTAATCCTTCTTGGCATTCTCAGTCCAATCCCATTCTTTAAGCTCATCTATGATCACATCCCTGCTGATCACTACCTGCTTATTCACTGGGTCGAACAGCTTGTAACCTCCTGTCGAATGATATCCTATTAAGATCATCTGATTCGACTTATCATCAAGCTTCCTTCTCAACTGATCTGGCACATGTCTATGTGTTATAGATCCAAACACCTTCAAGTGACTGAGACTAGGCTTGACACCAGACCAACATTCTTCTGGTGTGATTCCTTCAAGCTTCTTCGTCGAACATTTGTTCAATATATATGTTGCTGTCGAAACTGCTTCTCCCCATAATTCTTTAGGTAGATGCTTTCCATTCAACATACTTCTCACCATATGCATGATGGTTCTGTTCTTGCGTTCTGCAATCCCATTTTGCTATGGAGTGTAAGGTGGCACCACCTCATGCACAATCCCTTCTTTTACACATAGTGTATCGAACTCTTTCGACACATACTCTCCACCACCATCAGTCCTCAGAATTTTCAGTTTTCGACCACTCTGTCTTTCGACCATGGACTTAAATCTGGAAAATACCTCAATCACATCACTTTTCTTCTTGATGAGGTAAGTCCACAACATTCGACTGTAATCATCTATAAACGTGACAAATTATCTATTGCCACCAATCGAATCCACCTGGATTGGACCACATACATCAGAGTATATGACTTCAAGTATTGCCTTCGACTTCCTTCCTGCATCCTTGCTGAAGCTATTCTTATGTTGTTTCGACTGAACACACTCTTCACAGACTTCACTTGGAATGTCGATTTCTGGTAATCCTAAAACCATATTTCTTCTCTTCAGTTCTCTGATGTCTTTAAAGTTGAGATGACCTAGTCGAAAATGCCATAACCACTCATCTCTGCTGGCTGCAGTTGCTAGGCATCTGTGCTCCATCATATTGAGTCCAATCTTGAAGGTCTTATTCTGAGATATTGGAGCCTTCAAGATTAATCTACCACCTGCGTCGAGAACTCTCATCATCTTGTCTTCGACAACTACCTTGTAGTTCTTTTTGACAAGCTGCCCTATGCTGAGCAAATTACTCTTCATGCCTGGTATGTACAACACATTGGAAATTGTTAACCTTTTTCCATCTTTCCTCATAATCAGAACATCACCAACACCTTCGGCTGCTAGAGTGTTGTCATTTGCAAACTTCACGGTGTTCTTCGACGAGGGCTTCATGTTGACAAACCAATCTTTCCTTCCAGTCATGTGTGATAAGCATCCTGAGTCCAAGTACCACTGATCTTGGAATCTTTCTTCATCTTTTGTTGTGACCATTAGCAATGTTTCTTCTTCTTCATATTTCGCCAGCTTTGCATCAGTCTCTTGATTTCTCTTCCTTTCTGGACAATCACTAGCATAATGACCATACTTCTGGCAATTGAAACACTGAATGTGGCTTTTGTCTGGCTTTCGACCGCCACCTCTTCCTTTACCTGCAGCACCACCTCTTTAGTTGCCTTGGTTCAAAGGTTTCTTCTGATTCGACTGGTTTCCTCCTTTGTTGCCATTCCAGCTACCTTTGCCTTTTCTTTCCTTTTCTGACTACGCCTGCAAAGCCATGTCTTTCGACTTTCCTGCAGCTCTCTCAACCATCCTCTGTTCATGAGACTCAAGAGTCCCTTGAAGCTCTTCCTTCGTCAACACTGATAGATTTTTTGAATCTTCTATGGCAACTACCACGTGGTCGAATTTTGGAGCCAACGATCTCAAAATCTTTGAGACAACTGCTTTCGTCGTTAGCGTTTCTCCACATACTTTGATTTGATTCACCAACTTCGTAACTCTGGTGAAGAAATCTGTAATGCTTTCGTTGTCTTCCATCTGAAGCAACTCATAGGTTCTCTTGTGAGTTTGTAACCTCACCTCTTTCACCTTCTCTGCGACTCCAAACGACTTTCCAAGAATCTCCCATGCTTCTTTTACTGAATCAACATCACTAACCTTTTCAAAGTTATTAGGATCGACACACTGATGAATTATAAAGAGTGCTTTATAATCCTTCTTCTTCAATTCTTTGTGCGCAGCCTTTTCCGCCTCCGTTGCGTTCTCCCCAAGCGATGTTACTCCATCTTTCACAAGATCCCAAAGATCTTGATAACAGAGGATCACCTTAATCTGCTTGCACCAATTCTCATAATTGTCTTTCTTGAGAATTGGCAGGGTCGCCGGAAAGTTTCCGTTCAGATAGTTCATCGCCATCACTATCTTCCTTCCTTGAATCTTTCAACCGGAGCTCTGATACCAGATGTTGGAAATTCACCTCACACCCTATGAAGAATTCCCTTCAATCTTGATCTCAAGATTGATGAACAAACCCACAATATGATACTAATGGTAATAACAAGTAATTATCAAGAACAACAAAAGAAAAGAAGAACAAACAAGAAAGAGAAGAATGAGAGAAGAAATATTTGGAGAAAATGTGTTACCCACAACTGTGGGATTTCTTATTGCTTATAGAACTTTCACTTGCTCAAACTGCAACTGTGAAATCTGTTTTATGTTGTGTTTGAATACAAAGCAGGGCACCCTATTTATAGTTTTAGATTTACAAAAGCTCAAAACATAAAAGGTCCAAAATATTCAAATCAAATCTAATCATATCAAATCAAATCAAATCGAAACAATGAATTACATTTAATAACTAGTACGTAAAACAAAGACTTTCATATCACAATCTGCATGATCAAGCAGAATGTATTATTCCACTAATAATTTGTTTATTCATTCATTTTCATACACACAATTAAAAACATAGTCTAAATGACTTTGTTTATCACATGCATGATCTATACATAGTTATACTTGCTCAATTCTGAATGACCTCCTGCATCTCAATTCTCAGAGTTGTCACATGCTTCATTGCAGGTGTCAAAGGTATCAAAGCACTGGCACAATGGACGAAGAGAAGTTGTACAGAGGCATTGGTTGCATGCTGAGGGACACGTTTCTCTAACATCAAAACAGCGACAGGAAGGAGGGTTTGATTTTATGCAGAGGCACACATCACAACATGCTGATTTGTCATCATTACCATTGGAGAGAACTTGAGTTATGAAGGAAGTTGAATTGAAACGAGCGGTAACAACATTTGTGGTGAAGCTCAAGAGGAAAACCATTAAAGCTAACTTCATCATTGCCTTCTTATTCGTCAATTCCATTCTTACTCTTTTTCTCAATTGCGCTTTCTTTCTTTCTTTGCTTTGTGAAGAAGCATGAAGCTACATAGATCTATTTATATACTCTAATAATAATAATAGTAATAATAAATTGAATTAACAATTGTAGATCATCACTCACATGGTGGTCCAGGTTTGTCATGTCCTTTTTCATTGGCAAATTAATGGTAAAACGAAAGTTGATATAATGATATTGAATATGTGATTAGTATAGATACGTTAGGAAAATGATATTTTATCTAATATTTTTTTATAGGTCTTCATCTTTTTATGTGTGCTGTATTGACACCGACATATACCAAAATTTAATATTGAATACACTATTCACTGAATTTATACGGTGAATAATAGTTTCGTAAAATTAATAATACTTTTCATGAATAATAATGAACGTGTCAGGTAAACAATGTACATAATATTGTGAACAGTGTTCGTGTACAATATATGAACAATAACTTTATATATTTCCTTTGTTTTTTTAAGTGTTGTTTTTGTGTAAATGATTTGTTTTATTTTAGCTCTTGTTTCCCGTGTTCAAGATAATATTAATGATTGTTTTGTCAAAATTAACCATAATATTTATTTTGGATAATAATATTTATTTTGGATAGAGAAAAAACATAAATTAGAATAATAAATAGATAAGAATATTATAAATAAAATGAAAATTATTGCGTTAGAAGTAACAATAAATATTAAAAATTTTGACATGTGTAAAAAAAAACAATTAAAAAGGAATAGAGAGAGAAGTAAAATAAAGTTAGTTAATAAAATGTAAAAAGTTGATTAATAAATTAATAAAGTTAATTAAAAGTTGGTTAATAAAATTATAAAATTGATTAATAAACTTCCAAATATTAAAAATAATCTTTAACACTAAACTAAGTTAGTTAATAAAATATAAAAAATGAAGTTATGAAATTAATTAGTCACACAATTTCATATCAGTATTCTTTAATTTAAAAGTAAAATAATAATAAAAAAATATATTTAAAAAAATATATTATTATAATATTTTACTGTCTATCATACTGTATAAATGTTAAATTTTAGTGTAAAAATATTATTTCTCTTATCCTTTTACTCAAAGTATATATTAATATTTCAGTCTTCGCAACATCATACTAGTACAAAGTTTATCCTTCTTATAATTGTAAGTTTTGGTGGCCAATGGCGATTAAACTTCTTATGCGGCATTACTGATATGTCAAAAACAACATAGACTGAGTTAATCATCTTGTTTTTTAATTATAACACTTTAAATTATATGTTTAAAATAATAATCTGAGACGCTAAACTTCAGTATTAAATACATTGTAACAACATCTTAATAGTCAAAGATTATTTTTATATGCAAAACATTACGAGAATTAGAGTGGTCCTATATATGGAACACGAGGGTCACACTACAAGTACATTTCTGAAAACAAAAAGTAGATGAAATAATAAAAATTGAAAAAAAAATAAAAATTTATATAATTGTACATATGTAGCAGCAAAGAAAGATGCACAAATCATAATAGAAAAAGTGCAAGTGAGAAAGAGGATAATAATGGAGTTTATGAACAAGAATACAATTATCAAATTAGCTTTCATGCTTTTCCTCTTAGGCTTCACTGCAACTGTTGTTGATTCGATGATTTATTGCATATAAAATTTCTATACTTAATACTTTTTTTATAAGTAAATTTGAGTGATATTAAGGATACCCCAATCTAACTACAACAAAATGAACACATAACCAACCTCGTCAAAATAAAGATCTAGGAAACTATATCAATCTACCAAAGAACATCGATGCCATTATTAAAAGACAACGCAAACAACTCCTAAAATATTAGCTACAATGTCTACTTAGTGGAACTTTTCAAACATGGATTGAGTTAGAAGAAAAGTGTTTAAATAGTTTTTATCAACTCTGAATTCTCAAATTATGGAAAGAAGAGAAGAAATATTCAATAATTTTGAGAAAGGGGATTCGGAATCACTATTTGACTGTTAGGAAAGATTCAAATTATTAATCAGAAGGTGCTCAAATCACAACATAGACAACATAGAGCATATGCAACATTTTACTAGAGGTTAGAAAGTTCATACAATAATGCTTCTCAATGTCTTCGCAGAAGGTGCTATGAGAATGAAAAATAAAGATGAAGTAACATAGTTGATCGAAAGGCTATGTCAGAATGAGTATCACTCACAAAGTGAACGAGGCATAAAGAAAAAATGTGTGCTAGAGTTGCATACTAATATTTCAGGCTTAACTCAACTAGAGGTGATTACTAAACAATTAGCAAGAACTACTATCATTCATGCAAACGTTAGTCAAGTTCAACTATTAAGGTGTGATTTTTGTAGACAGAGAAATGCTAATGACAACTGTGTACCAGAAAGACATAATAAAGAAGCCTAATACGTGAACAAATTTTTAAGAGGTAATCATTATTCTAATACTTTTTATCCTAGTTGAAAGTATCGTCTAAATTTCAAGTAAAACAACAACCAGATTTTGAATGTGAGCCAAGGAGTCTCTCAAGTTCCTCAAGTTCATCAAATGCAACAACTAAGGAAGCCTTTTTCTTTAAAAGAAATTATTGCTCAGTTTATGAAGATGACCCGAAGAAATTTCAAGTCAATGAGAAAAAATTAGAAAATTATGCGTAAGAACCATAAAGCACCCATCAAAATTGGAAATGAAAATTGGGAAATTTTTCAGACAGGTAACATCTCAAGCAAGTTGGGGTTTCAATGGAAGCACTTTAGATAATCTAAAAAAAGAGATTTGTAAGGAAATTGAGTTGAGAAATAGATTAGTACTTTAAATTCATAAGACCAATGGGGAGAAAAGAAAGGCAGTCACAATGAGGAGAAAAATAAAAATAAGAAAATAGTGGAAGATCAAGGGGGTGTAATAGATGATGGAGTGGATGAAAAGGAGAGAAAAATGGAGAAAAAAGTAAGAAAATAGGTGAAAACTACGTGAGTGGAGATACACTTGAAAATCTTATTTATAGGAACTCACCTTTGGGAAGAATTAAAAAGAAAATTCTCAATGAAACAAACCTCGAACTCTCGTATTAAGTCAAGACACCTTATCTTATTCTTAAGAAGAAACCAAAGAAAGAGCTCAAAGTTGGACAATTTAATAAGTTCATGGAAATACTTAAAACAGACCTGATAGTATTGAGCTTCACAACTGGAGCAAAGATTTCAGTGTAGTCAACTCCTTCCTTTTGCTGAAATCATTTGACAACTAGTTGGAGCCATCATGGTCCCCCTTCACCCGATACACCCATTTGTTGTGAAGTTCTCTTTTTCCCATAGGTAACTCAGCAAGTTCCCATGTCTCATTGGAGATCAAAGACTTCATCTCGTCTTTCATAGAAAGTTCCCACTTACTAGCATCTGCAGTCTGACATGCTTCTACATAATCTTCAGGTTCCCCTTCATCTATCAATAACATGTAGTCCATGTATCTCTTGTTGGGAACATGAGTTTTAGAAGACCTTCTCAATACAGGAGTTAGAGTCGGAGGCTCTGATATGTCAGGCTGCTGCTCACTGCCTTGTTCAGTTGTTTCCTCTAGCCGAGGATTATCAACTATAGGACTTTCTAGGACATCGTCCACCTCTGCATAAACTGGCTCACTCGAATCTGAGTTGCTGGCACTTGTATTCTGTTTGTCCCTGTACATCACTCTTTCATTGAAGATCACATATCTACTACGAATCATCTTTTTGTTTTCTTCATCCCATAGGCGATAGCCAAACTCATCCTCACTATAACCGAGGAAAGTGCACTTCTTTGATTTGGGATCAAGCTTATTCCTGCCATGATCACTAATGTGCACATATGCTACACAGCCAAAAACTCTAAGATGTGAGAGTTTTACCTCTTTTCTGCTACATACCTCTTCCGGTATTCTAAGCTCCAATGGTACAGATGGACCTCAGTTGATTAAGTAAGCTGACGTGTTGCTTGCCTCTGCCCAAAACTGTTTTGGTAAGCCTGACTGCACACGTAAGCTTCTGGCTCTTTTAGTCAATGTTCGATTCATACGCTCAGCTACACCATTCTGTTGAGGCGTCCCCAACACAGTCGTCTCCATTCTGATTTCTCTCTCATCGTATAAATTCTAGAACTTGGTGTCTACATATTCACCACCATTGTCAGTTTGGAGCTTTTTGATCTTCAATCCGGTCTCGTTTTCTACCATCGCTTTCCACACCTTGAAAGCCTCAAATACGTCAGACTTATATTTTAGAAAGTATACCCATACCTTTCTGGAATGGTCATCAATAAAAGTCACGAAGTATTTCTTCCCACCAATAGATGAGATGGTAGTTGGACCCTAAACATCAGAGTGGACAAGCTCGAGTCTTTCCTTCCTTGGGGTTCTCCCACTTGTCTGAAAGCTAACTTGTTTTTTCTTTCCAAGTATACAGTCTTCGCACATGTCAATTTCTATTGACTGAATATCTGGAAGTTTTCCATTTAAGTGCATGAACTTCATCCCTTTCTCACTCATATGGCCTAGTCTTTGGTGCCATAGATTTGGACTTTCATTTGTTGCAACTACAATCAAATGACATGCTCCAGCTGTCTTGTAAAGAGTACCACTCTTTTTACCGCGAGCAATTGTCATTACACCTTTTGAAATCTTCCAATGATCTCCATGGAAGATTGTTGTGTAGCCATCATTGGCCAGCTGGCCTACTGAGATTAAGTTCTTCGTCAGGTTAGGAATGTATCTGACATTCTTCAGCTCCCAAACAGACCCGTTCAACTTGATCTTCACTACACCTTTTCCCACAATCTCACAAGATTGGTCATTACCAAGGTAAACTTTACCGAGGTTCCCGGGGACATAATTTTTGAAGATCTGTTTCTGTGAAGTTGCGTGAAAGGATCCTCCAGAGTCTATCACCTAAGACTCTTCCTTGCTTTCCAAAGAACATATCAATGCATCACCTCCTCCTGAG